ACCGCGCGCCCGCTCGTAGTAACCTGATCGCGCATCCGCCTACGGCTCCTAACTAACGCGTAATTATATCCTAAGTGGTCATCAAGCCGCGAAAATGTAACAAAGTAGGGATTTTCGAAAGTCATGTGCTCGCGACGCACAAGCAGCAGACGACGATCTCCCGGAGCGAGCATCGGGCCAATGGCGAGGTGAGCTGAGGCAACATAGCGGCCACAGCCAATCAAGGGCCTTGAAACGCCCTTCAAACACTTGCTTTTTGTGCGCTTGTTTTTAAAGGGAGGAGCCAGCTGAGGCGGGAAAGTTAAGCACGGAGAAATGCTCTTTCCGATGAGCCCAAGAAGCCGGCTCCCGGCCCCGCCATCGCGAAGCTATATTTTTCAAAAATCGCTGTTTTCTCGCGATTTCCAGAAATATTTTCGCTACCTAGGCGAGTGAAACGAATTTACCAAAGCACTTCTGCGCGGTTTTCAGTGTGAATATTGTTACGGGGAAGATTTATTCACCGACAGCAGTTCTTGGTAACGGCTTAAAGAGCGCACAGTCATGCAGGCCAACAAGGGAAGCTCGAGAAACCAACCCACAACAACCACGTTGTCATCTTCTTCCTTTAGGGTGCCATTTCAGCTGTGCCGAAGCGACAGTTCCACACACGTATCATCACCCCCGCGGGTCAGGCACCATCTCGGTGCCTGTTAAATGAGCGAGTCCACGTTGTAGGGCTTGAGAGGAGAAACGTGGACTATTTCCGTTCCGGGTGCAGCAGCCAATGAGTTTGCGGTAGCGGCAATCTCGCATGTCATAGGTGTGACCTGACGAAGGACACAGTAGGGCCCAGCGTACCGCGATAGTAGTTTCTCGCAGAGGCCGACACGTCGAGATGGGAGCCACAGGAGAACAAGAGATCCCACAGAAAAAACGGCATCCTTATGTCAACAGTCGTAAAAGGACTTTTATGCTGTCTGCGACGACGATAACAGAGCGCGGGCTACCGCGCGTGTCGTGAGGGCAGGGGTGATGGCATCCTGAGCGTGCGAAGTAAAGGATGAGTGGTCTGATGAAAGCAGTGTGTCGAAAGGCAGTAAGGGATGATGTCCGAAGAGTAGATAAAATGGGCAGTAGCCTGCTGTTTCATGACGCAACGAGTTATAGGGGAAGGTGACGAACGGCAGAGCTATGTCCCAATCAGTGTGGTCGGTAGATATGTACATGGAAAGCATGTCTGTCAATGTGCGGTTTAGGCGCTCTGTAAGGCCGTTAGTCTGAGGGTGGTAAGATGTGGTGAAATTGTGACGGGTAGCACAAGATCGGAGTCGATCATCAATCACACGAGATAGAAAGTAGCGACCACGGTCTGTGAGTAGGTGAGGCGGAGCGCCATGCTGCAGAATAATGTCGTAGAGCAGGAAGTCGGCAACGTCTCTTGCGCAGCTGGTTGGTAGCGCTCGAGTGATTGCATACCGAGTGGCATAATCTGTGGCCACTGCAATCCATTTATTTCCAGTTGTAGAAACAGGAAAGGGACCTAGCAAATCCAACCCCACACGATGAAACGGCTCCGCTGGAACTTCAATAGGTTGAAGAAGACCGGCAGGGGAAATCTTAGGCTTCTTTCGGCGCTGGCAGAGATCGCAAAACGGCGAACGGAGCGGTAGAGACCCTTCCAGAATACTCGTCGTCGAACGCGGTCATAAGTTCTGGAGATTCCTAGATGTCCAGAAGTTGGAGCGTCAAGGAATTGTCGCAGAACATCCTTTCGCAGGTGATGTGGTACGAGGAGTAAAAGTTCCGCGCCACTGGGGTGTAAGTTGCGGCAGTACAAAATGTCTTGAAGCAGGAATCTGCTAAGGGAAGGGTCAGTATGACGTGATTAAAGGCGGTCAATAATGATGAGCAGCGATGGATCTCAGCGCTGTTCGTCGGCCACGTTCAGAAAGTCAGTTATGGCTAAAACGCAGGCATCAGATTCCAAATCAGTCGAGTTAGGTGTATCAACGGGATAAGCAGTCAGCATCGCTGTGCAGCTTTCAAGCTTTGTACACAACCAAGAATTTGTACTCCTGTAATCGAAGTGCCCATCGGTCGAGTCATCCCGTAGGGTCCTTAAGCGTCGACAGCCAGCACAGCGCATGATGGTCCGTGATGACTGCGAATGGACGACCGTATAAGTACGGATGGAATTTCGCAATTGCCCAAACAACGGCTAAGCATTCCTGCTTAGTGATGGAATAATTTTTTTCCGCTTGCGACAGAAGGTGACTAGCGTAGGCTATCACACGGTTGCTACCATTCTGTATCTGAGCGAGAATAGCACCAATGCCATGGCGACTTGCATCGGTGCGAAGCTCTGTTCGAATTGCTGGATGAAAATGAGCCAACACAGGTGGTGATGTGAGGGCGGTAATCAACGACGCGAAGGAATGTTCTTGGTCCTTCCCCCAAGAAAAGGCCACATTATTTTTGAGGAGATCCGTGAGGGCCTAGCAATATCCGCAAAGTTGAATACAAAGCAGCGAAAGTACCCTCTTTACTCGCATAATCCTCGCACTTTTTTCTGTCGGAAAACCGATGCGAAGTTAAGGGGTGCGAGAATTACGCGGGGAAAACTTTCACGAAATTGTAAAGTGCAAAAAAAAAAAAAAAACGAAGTGGCCGCAAATCGGGATTCTCACACCAGCAACTAATAGCAAGCTTTGAGAAGTACTAATTAAAACTTACCTCAACATTGAAAGCACTGGTTCAACACAAGGCAAGACTTATTTGAGACACTAAAAGTGCAAGCAAGTAGTCGAGAATTAGAATACCATACGCAAAGCTTGTGGTTATTGCGGCTGTAGCGGTAGCATTCGTCGCGCAACAGGAGCCCTCAAAAGGTAAGCGTAGGACGTCAGTATTGGGCTGATGGCTATTTAATAGAATCGTCTGCAGTTTCATTCTGAAGAAAGAAAGTTTACAATAAATCCCAGTTTTAGGCACACGGCCGGCCCAACGCGTCTTGGTGGCTTTCAGCTGCCGTCACCAGTAGCGAACACAAAACTCATAGACTCTGAAGGGCCTACCAGCGGCCCTGCTTGTCGTTGTTTAGTGCATGATCTATCACCTTCAACTTGAAAGCAGCCGTGTAGCTTCAGTATCGCCCCATAACGTTGACAAATCACTAACACAACATACAACACACGCCGCAACGCGCACTTGCCACTTTGGCTTGACTTGGATTAGATTGAATCTCCGTGCAGTAATAGTACGATTGATGCTTAAGAGATGGCGCCAGATGACGCACGCTATTATCATCAGTGGCTGGAACGAGCAGACGACATTATTGCAGCAGTTTTTGGGTGTGCGATAATTACTCGAGGAAAAAAAAGAAGTCCTATTTTTGTTGGGCGATGTGGGGGGTGCGAGAATTATGCGAGTGCGAGGATTAAGCGAGTAAATACGGTATGAGCAGGACCAATAAAACTGCAAACTTCTTGTGTGGAACGCGGAACTGGGAATTCTCTGACAGCACGGACTTTGTCAGGGTCAAGGTTGAACACCAGTGGCGTCAACAAAGGGCCCGAGTAGTTTAATCTGCCAGCGTCCAAATGAGCATTTTCGACGAAATCAGTTGGAAACCAGCGCAACGAAAAACGTCAAGAATTGGCGAGAGACGAGACAGGTGGCTTTCGAAGGAGGGCGAGAAAATGATTACATCGTCCAGATAGCAAAGGCAGGTCGACCATTTGAAACCGTGGAGAGGACAGTCCATCATACGTTCAAAAGTAGCCGGGCGATTGCACAACCCAAAAAGCATGACTTTGAATTGGTAAAGGCCATCAGGTGTGATGAATGCTGTCTTCTCGCGGTCGCGGTCGTCGACCGAAATGTGCCAGTATCCGGATCGAAGGTCGAAGGACAAGAAATAGTTGGCGCCGTGGAGGCAGTCGAGCGCATCATCAATTCGGGGTAGAGGATAAACGTCCTTCTTGGAGATCCAATTCAGGTGGCGATAGTCGACGCAAAAGCGCCAGGTGTTGTCCTTTTTAACTAAGACCACAGGAGATGCCCAAGGACTCGATGAAGGCTTAATGACGTCATTGCTCAGCATTTTCTCGACCTCCGTCTGTATAACTTGGCGCTCAGCATGTGACACACGATAAGGGTGTTTGTGGAGTGGAATGGCGTCGCCGGTGTCGATTCGGTGGGTTGTGCGGCCCAAGAGACGGTTGTCGACGTCAAAGATATCCATACAGTTCCATACACGTATCAATATTGTGGAATCAGAAAAAGGGTTCCAGAAACTGAAAACTTGATTTTGAAAAAATCGTTTTTTTTTTTCGCCATTTATCGCGATCCTAAAGCCGAGTCCCCCTTTAAGGATGCCTTTCATAAGGCACCTTTATGACAGAATAAGGGAGGGTTCTGAAAAGCACCTTGTACTTTTCTTACACTTTTGTTGTCCGTTCGTAAGCAGCCTTACGGCCATAAGTAAAGGTCTGTTCATAAATACTGCAGTAAGACAATTCTACAGCATGCTTTCTGTTATATCCAGGCCTGTCTCCAAGGTAATCTGAATGGTTTGTCAAGAGAGGCTGAACTTGTTCAGAATAAGGAGAATTTTACGGCAATATGGAAAATGCAGTTTAAAGGAAGTGTGAACATAACAGTAGATAATGTACATTAAAATACTTCACAAGCATTTATTCAAAAGTTTTAAAGTAATATCACCAAAAACTTACGTACACATGTTTTATCAAATAGGTCACTTTGAATAACTTAAAAATGTGCAGTGTAAGAAAAATATGCTGGAGATGACTAATCTAAAGTGTGTAGACATGCACACACGCATGTAACCTTCGAAAGGGCTCACGAAATTATAATCAAGAGCAGAGTAAAAGAAATACTTGTGTAGCTCTGTTGGGCCCTAAGTATTTTGACAATTTTGGGGGGATCTTGCTGATGATAATACATAATAAACCTAAAAGCTCCGAGAAGCAAACAAAAAAAGGAAGATTGCTGCCAACCTCGGTTGAGCCTGTAAAAGCAATCTTGTCCACATCCTTGTGACCTGCGACGGCCGCTCCAGCAGTAGGGCCCATTCCAGGCACCACATTGACCACGCCGGGTGGGAAGCCAGCCTCAGCTACCAGAGAGGCCACATGAAGGGCCGACAGTGGTGTTTGCTCGGCCGGCTTCATCACCACAGTATTGCCCATTGCAAGTGCAGGACCAAGCTTCCAAGCCTGCATAAGCGCTGGGAAATTCCACTGCAAGACAGAATAAAAACAGGTACTAATGGTTTACTGAGCGACACATTCGATGACAGTTTAATTTTTCAGCACAAATAATTGTTCCAAGCTGCTTCAATAATGTGCATGCTGTATTCTATCAAAAATAAATCTCTCGACCTTGTGCACACGGTATATGAGAAGAACGAATCGCAATTCAGAAAAATGCTTCATGCCTACTTAGTTGCTGGGTTTGTTAAGGGAGTATGATAGGGTAAACCTCCCCAAGAAATCAAATTAGCAATTTTGACACCTAAAGATTCGCTGTACTCTGAGGAACAAACCTGTGGAAACCCAACATCAAGTGCCCACTCCAAGCGGTTTAAACGCCGCGCCGCGCCCTCTGGCGTAAGCAGTATGCCCACATAAATCTTCGTTTTTCTCAAATTGCATTTTTAAAACTTTTTTAACTTCAAGGCACGTTTTCTCAAAAAGTATTGAATTGATTTCAATGAAACTTTGTATGCATGAGCAACAACAAGTTAGAAATACCCTGAACAAAAAAAATGCAGATTTCATAAAAAGCGAAGCTGTGAGAAAAATTAAACAATAAGCACTCTTTGTGGCCTTGTGCATGCAGTAATTTTTTTTACAGAAACTTCACGAAAAATGTAATATTTTTTTTAGTTCAGATGTGACATATGAGTCTACAATAGCGCAGCTGAATATCATTCCATACATTTCAGTAGTTGCTGAGAAAAGGTACATTGAATAAGTGAACCCCCTTTAAAATTTGGGAGTGGGCCATAAGTAGAATAGGCATCCTAGGCACGAAAAAAGGGGTCACTTGATAACCAGTAGTATTTTTTTGTGAGCACGTAAAATTTTATGGGAATACTTGTAGCCGCTTCTAACATATTACGCTGAAACTGACATTACCCTATCATACTACTTCAAGTATTTCACTTTTTTAGGGGTGAAACTCTTTATAGCATCACCTGGTCGGTCGTCCTGTCCATCCTGCGTAGCCAGCATACACACGGATTGAATGATAATGAGTGAGACAAAGCGCCCGTCCATCTGATGTGTGCTCTAGTGCAATAGGAGCAGACAGACAGATGGACAGATGAACGCATGGACAGAAAACAGACTGACAAACGCAGAGGCTTTGCCCCACTCATCATCATTCACTCCGTGGATATTCTGTGTTTTTTTATACCCACACAGCCTACACCATACACCTTATCAGTGCAGCTGAATCAAGTTACAAGAACTGACAAATAGTACAACCTACCATGCCAATCTACATGATCAGATTCATTATTGCCGACCAGAATGACTGAGGAGACAGCTGGTTGAACATAAGTTGCCATTGAAATCAGCACAAAAACTGAGATAAGGACATGTGCTGAGCCTCGTTTTTAGTTCCTTCTCGTGTCAGTGTCTCAATTCGTACACTAATTTCATGAGTATCTACACTGCCAACCAGAAAAATTTTTGAATTTGGGAACATGTGTACTGCAGAGCTGTGCTACAGGACTCGTGTATTATAAGTAAACTTTTAAACGCAGCTGCACTACAAGCTTTGGGTGGCAAAGTGTAACTTAGCACAATGCTGCAGTGAATCTGAACCGACACCTTATGATCGTAATAGGGTAGATAATAATGTTGATGAATTTATGAAACCCTATTGAACTGAAGTACATTTAGTGCAGAAATTTCTTTTGCATTTACTAAGTTAGCACATAGCAGGCAAAAAAATGTGGCAGCTGTGAGTCACGTCATTTACCACTTGAAACAATGCACTACCCTGAATGAATGTGAATGAAAAGGGAGAGGAAATGGGCTCGTTAATTTGCAAGAGGCAAACTTGCTATCACAGATCCTCTCAGCGAGTTTTATGTGAATGACTGTGCGTGTCATGTGTGGAAATACACACAAAGGCAAGCTAGAAAAAAAAAAGAACATGCTAGAGCAACACAGCTGGCTAGGATGGAAGTAAGCTGAAAACAGCAAAAATAATTTCAAACGAAATACACATAAAAAAAACTGTGCAGCCACACAGATGTATCATTTTTTTTATTGGCCCCATTAGTTAAAGGATGTGCCATACCATGACATAAGCCTAGATGAACTTTGCAAAGCAAAAAAAAAAAGCATGGCATATATGCATTCAATACTACATGGGCCATCAATTTATTTCAATAACCACCCTGTGCAGTCGAGAGAGACAGTGTTGCTCAGAATGTTGCCTAGTCAATGTAAACGAGTAAACAACTTTCGAGAACAGCAATAGAAATGCTCTAAGAGTACTCGGGTTTTGATGAATAATGGCCAATGGATTCAACGCACTTGCAATAATGGATTCAATGCACTTGCAGAACACACAAGCTACATATTGTACATACTATATGCAGTTCACAGAATGCATAGAATGATAATAATGAGCAGTCTTTTTAATTAACAGTAGACACAGGCACACTTACCGGAATAATCTGGCCACACACACCAACAGGCTCATGACGGGTGTACGCAAAATAGCTGCCGTCAAGTGGGATAGTCTTGCCATGGTTTTTGTCAGCATAGCCGGCATAGTACCTGCACAGAGGCGCATAAATGAATACTGCCACACACACAACAACTATAGCACAGAACATACTTCTTTTCAACAGAGAAGGCAAGCATTATGCAGTACATGAATGCAGCGCAATAATAAAGAAACACCTGCTGCTTTCCTTGCAACAGGAAATGAACAATGCAGAAATAGTACCACTTAATTTGTGCTGCTTGAAAGCACAGTGACAATGATGATAAGGGAAATACTTGTGTGTCCACTTAATGTATGAAATAATGTTTGGTTATGCCATAAATGCAGATTGAGGCTTGGAAAACAATGCAAAGCACATAGTTGCATACGTGATACATTCAATATGATTTTCACCTGTGACAGATTAATAAGTTGCCAATTATTTACATACAATATATTAAGAATTACTTGAATATATGTTGAAGATATGTACCCTCATGACTAGAAAAGAAAGTAAAGCTCCAAACAAACTTTTATTGACAAGGAACTGCATATGAGCATGTTGCAGGTGGCTGCAAAGACAATCGCAAGGTCACATAAAAATCTGTTTATAACTGGTCATGTTTGGCATGGTAAAAGAAAACTATTTACACTGGTGAAGTGCATTATAAAATGGCATTGCAGGTACTGCCTCATTTAGTAAGCGTTGCGGAGATCATCTATGGGGACAATATTGAAAAGTTAAACTGCGCTAATACAAGCAAGGACACAAAAAAAGTAAAGGACAGCACATGCACAGACTCACAACTCAAACTTTATTGCCTTAAGGACGACATATATATATATACAGTGAACAGCAAAAAGACAGAATGAGCTCATTGGCAAAAAAAAAAAAAAGGTCAAGCAAAAGCTTGTAGTACAGTCATGATCTAGCTTCTAGATACTGTATTCACAATCAGGAAGCAGCATCGACAAATCGATGACACACTTGTTTTTTTAGTCGCATAAGCTTCGTATTGCTCTCTTGTATTGTGGTCCTTATGGTAATACCAAAAGGTAAAAAGGTTCAGGTTAAAAGAACATTTCACATTTCAAGAACTATTCATATGATGGTTGTTCCCATAAGTTATGGCAAAGCACTTTGCAGGGACTGTGTAAAGAAGAAAAAGAAGGCATGCCACCCACTTCTAGAAAGAGCAAGGGTTTTGTATTGCCATGAGGACCGCAATACAAAGATGTCCATGAGGTCTATGCTATTCAGAAAACACAAGGGTGTGTCAGTAATTCATCGGCACTGCTTGTCAACTGAAGTGCACCAACTAAATTCTAGATTGTGAAAGTGCTTGAAGCATTCATGTGACCTTTTTTTTTTCTTTTTGCCAATAAGCTCGTTCTGCCTATTCATATTTACCGTATATAGTATGTCCTCTTTTACTCGATGAAGCTGCGAGTTTGCGCATGTTCTGTGTTCTTGCTCGTATTAGCGCAGTTAAACCTTTCAAGAATGAACCAACTAGCCCAGCTTGGCACTCTTCGGCAATGGGGACGATGTGAAAAGTGACACTATGAATTCAAAATTTATGTAAACTTTTCAATGATGTCTGCCCATGTGATCACTTTTAGTCTTGCTGATGATGAGTGATGAGAGTGGTTTTTTTTAATGGTGCAAGGGCCAATTGATGGCCAAAGAGCGCCATTTCAACAGACTAGAGATATGAACAATGATATGATGCATGGCTGTAAAGGGGCCTTAAAATTCCTCGCGCTAATGCGGGTAAAAATGTGGGAGTAATAAAATCATGACAGTGGCGTGAGATATGTGCAGTGAAAGTGGATGGCAAAATGTCATGATAATAAAACCATGATGAAGATGTACTCACCGCAGCCACGACCACGGTACAGAGGTCATGCTACGGATCACCTCACAATATGGAGTGAAAGCTATGAACATCTTTTAAAAACGTGAAAAGTGATTGCAGTGTAAAAAGCGGATCCCTACCGATGAGCATCCCTGGGTGTAGTGAGAGCTGCTGTCGGTAGGGCAGTACAAAGTGCTTTTTTCTTAGAGCATCTAGCTCATTGCACTGGTCGAGAATGTAGAGAACCGTAAGTGGTTCTCCACATCTCTCACAAAATGGTGGATCGCCTGTAGATAGAAGATATGAATGTGTGGAGTGTGTATGTCCTGTTCTAAGCCTTGCTAGTGTTACTTCTGTGTGTCGTGATTTTGATAGTGGCGGCCAATTACCTAGTTGCAGCTTAATAGCATGGAGTTTATTGTCTGTGTGTCTATCCCACTTGCTCTGCCAATACCTCCTGAGCTTTCATTTTAGAAAAGATTTCAAGTCAAGTGAAAGGTTGGTATTGATTCATTCGAAGTAGTGTCGTTGGCAGAAGCAGCCATATTGTCGGCCAAAACGTTCCCTTGTATCTCATGGTGCCCTGGCACCCAGCAGACGACATGCTGTTTTGATGTGTACAGTGTGCATAGAAGCAAGTAAAGTGACACCAGCACACGGTTATTGTGTTTTTTAGGGGTTTTCAGGGCTTAAACCACACTTAGGGATCTGTGTATGTTACCGCAATTTGTAATTTTATCTGTTTGATGCATTTTACGACTGCCAGTATTGCGCAAGCTTCTCCTGGTAAAATGCTTGCATAAGGATGAAGAACACTAGCCTTGGAAAAGGATTGGCCTACCGCTGCATATGACACAGAAGTGTTGGACTTTGAGGCATCAGTAAAGAACTCGGGGAATGTGTATTTATGTTGTAGTTCTAAAAACTATGTATGTGTGCAAGTGGTGCGTACTTAGTGACTTCAACAAAAGAGACATCACAGTCTATAAGCTGCCATTTCCACGGTGGCAGATATGCTGCAGGAGCCATGAAACTGTGTTCGAGAAGAGTCACACCTGATTCTTCGGCCAGGCCCCTTGCACGTAGCGAGTAGGGCTGCCGCAACGAAGGACGGTTTTCAAACAAGCCAGAATAGAATAAGACAAATCATTACTTGTGAAATGAGAGGGGTGTTTCTTGTCGGCCTTCACCTTCAGAAAGTACAAAAACACAGGTAATATCTGTGTAGGTGAAGCGACCATTCATTCGAATCCACACACAGGCTCTCCACAGGGCTAGTTCGAAAAGCACCCATAGAGAGGCGAATTCTTAGATGGCCGATAGGCTCGAGAATCTTCAAGGCTGATGGTGTTGGCGACTGAGAGATTAGAGCACCGTAATCTAGGCGTGTGCGTTTGAGGCTTCTATATAAATTCATCAGACACTTCTTGTCACTGCCCCACGTAGTGCATGACAACTTTCAAAATATTCATTGTTTTTAAGCACCTGTCTTAAATACTTGATGTGTGGGATGAAGGTCAGTTTTGTGTCTAATATTAGTCCAAGAAACTTGTGCTCGGTCTTCACTGGCAGGGGTTGACCATGCAGGTCAATGTCGGGGTCAGGATGGAGGCCCCTCTTTCGGCTGAACAAGATGCAAGTACTCTTTTGCGCGTTGAGTATAAAACCATTCTCATTTGCTTATTGAGACACCTTGTTCAACCCTAGCTGCACTTGACGTTGGCACATTGAGATGTTGCACGATTTGAAACCAATCTGTTCATCAACGACATATATGCAGTAAAAAATGTTACGTGAGAGAGACAGGTGCAAGGAATTCATTTTAACTATGAAAAGTGTGCAGCTCAATACACCTCCTTGTGGCACTCCTGTTTCTTGGACAAATACTCGAGATAAGACGGTGCCAACTCGAACACGGAATGTACGGTTGGACAGGTAGCTTTCGATGATTGTCAGCATTCTACCCCGCACACCTAAATGTGTCAGGTCTCGCAATATGCCAAAGCGTCATGTAATGTCATATGCCTTTTCCATATCGAGGAACACAAAGAAAAAATTGCTTATGAACAAAAGCGTCGCGAATTTGTGCCTCGACACAGACAAGGTTGTCAGTGGTGGACCAAGCCTCTCGAAACCCACACTGGTATGGGTCAAGTAGGCCATTAATTTTAAGAAAGTACATCAGGTGCCTGTTAATCATATTCTCAAAGACCTTGCAAAGACAGCTGGTTAATGCTATTGGCCTGTAGCTGGAAACTGAGGCCGGGTCTTTGCCTTGTTTTAGAATTGGGATAACGATAGCTTCCTTCCAGGCTGAGGGTAGCTCGCCGGAAGACAATATCGCATTATACAGGGAGAGGAGAGCTTTCTCGGTTTTAGTGGGCAGGTGTTTTAACATTTCATATGCCACACGAACCGGGCCTGGGTTAGATTTGTTGCAGCAGGTAAGTGAGGCTTGCAGTTCAGCCAAACAGAAAGGTTCATTGTATGCCTCAAGTGTTGCGAGTTTGCGCTCCAATCTGTTTTTCTAGTCTGGTTTTGTATCGTTGGAACGCTTCACTATAGTGTGATGAGCTGGAGACCTGTTCGAAGTGCACTCCGAGAGTGTTAGCCTGGTCTTCCAAACTCTCCCTTTGTGTGTTCACTAGAGGAAGTGAATGTGCTTTTCGTCTTGCCGCTTTACCAGCCATGTTCCAGACTCTCGCCTCATCTGTCTATGAATTAATGCCTGATAAAAATTTGTGCCAACTTTCCCTTCCCGCCTGTCAGTGCGTCCGCATTCCTCGCGACTTGATGTTCTTAAAGTTTACAAGATTCTCGGCAGTAGGCGAGTCTGTAAGCAACTTCCATGCCTTATTTTGCCTTTTTCGAGCATCACGGCACTCATTATTCCACCATGGGACTCGTCGTTTGCCTGACAGTCCACATGTTCGGGGAATACATATCGTTGCTGCATCAACCAAGAAAGCTGTAAAGTAGCACACAGCATCCTCTATGCTTAATGCCACCATGTAAGTCCAAGTTACTACAGTTATTTTTTGAAACTTTTCCCAATCTGCTTTGTGGGTGAGCCATTTGGGAACCTGTGTATTTGTTACTGATGCGCTGATAACGACAAGTCACTACCATGTGGATTATTAATAACTTCCCATTCAAGTAAAGACAGGCGTGATGGGGATGTTATGCTAAGGTCTATTGTTGAGTACACATTATTAGCGATGTTGTAATATGTTGGCTCTTCCCGATTCAGGAGGCCTGCACCGGAAGAGAAAAAAAACTGTTCAATCAGGCAACCTCGCGCATTGCAGCGAGAATCACCCCAGAGGCTACTATGTGCATTAAAATCCCCATAGGACAAGGTAGTGTTCTAGAAGTTCGTCTATGAGGGACTGAAATTCATGCTTTTCAAGATGGTGTTGTGGAGGTATGTAGAGAGAGCAGATGGTGACGAGCTTATTCAAAAGAACTGCTCGAACAGCAAGCGCTTCAAGGGATGTTTGTAGTGGTAGGTGTGCGCATGCAATCCCTTGATTGACTATAATGGTAACACCACCGGATGGCACAATGGCATCATTCTGGTCCTTCCGAAAAATAACGTAATGACGTAAAAAGTTGGTGTATTTGGTCTCTTGTACGCACAGCACCTCAGGTGTATGTGTGTGTAAAGGTTCCTGAATATCGTCGAGGTTTCTCAGCAATCCTCCGACATTCCCACTGCAGTATTTGTGTCATTTTAATGTTGTGTGGTGCTGTGTGTACAAAGGTGCTGCGTTAGATTACAGGGCCTTTTGGGGGCCCTGTGATTCGAGGTTTTTCTTTTTTGGCGCACTCCAAGGAGTTGCGCCTACCCTTCAGCGTCTGAGGCGCCGGAGGAATGGGACTTCTATTCATCACCTCTTGTGAGGTGGTGGATGGTGCCTGCTCGGCAGGAATATTTACAGAACTTTCGAACCTAACTGCGCTTGCAGCGGTCCGAGGTTCAGCAGACACGGGGGTCTGCTGGCCCTGTTTGTCAGGTGGCGAGTGACATTCGCGGGTGCAGATACATGTGGCGCAGTGCCCCAGTGGGTCACATCTGCGAAGGAGGGATAAGATGGGTTGTGTAGTGCGAAACAGCGTGCTTTTTGGAATGAGAGATTAAATTTGACCGTAAGTTCTACAATTTGTTTCTCTTCTTTACATGCAGGGCATGATCTTGAGTAGGCATGATCTCCTTCACAGTTCGAACAATGAGTTGTTTCTGAGGTGCAGTAGTCCGATATGTGTTGAATGGATGCACACTTTGCGCAAGTGGCACGCCCTCTGCAACTCTGCGATCCATGACCGAAACGTTGACACTTGAAACATCGACGAGGGTTGGGAATGTATGGTTTTACACGGAGCTTACAATAGCCGGTTTCGATTGATTCTGGTAGGTCACTTGTTCCGAAGGTAATTATTACGTGTTTTGTAGGGGTCAGTTTGTTGTTGTGCCTTATTGTTATTCATTGGACTTTGACCACATTCTGGTCCTGCCAACCTTTGAGCAGCTCCCTTTCAGAAAGCTCAGCAAGATAATCATTGGAAATTACGCCATAGACAGTGTTCATGGACCTGTGTGGGCCCACCGAAACAGGGGTTTGCCCAAACGCTACAAGTTTAGACAGCTTCTCATACTGAGCTTTGTCACGAACATCCAGAAGATTGCGGCTTCCCATCTTTGTCACTTTATAACCTGGGCCTATTGCTTCTGTGAGAGTTTTGGAAACGAGGAAAGGTGAAATGACTCGGACTGTCTTCTTTGCATTTTGGCTGTGGATAACATGGTACTTTGGGAATGTCGGTTTTGGTGTGTTAGGCAGGAAAGTGTCTTCGGTGCGCCACCTTTTCAGGGAGCGATCAGGCAGGGGGGGAAAAGCTTTAGCTATAAAAATACTATAAAATTGGGGCGGCGATGGTGGCCACCCACCACTGAGCCCAACATGGGGACACTACAAGATTGAAAGCAAACACTTGGAGACGCCAGCCATACATCGCCGCTATAACCTGTTATAAATATCCTAAGTTGGACAGCTACACCAAGTTAACCCTCGCAGCCAGGAAACTTGGAAGTAAACGGAAGAGAGAAGGTAAGATGACAGGACAGATGAAAAGTGAGAGGTAAAGACGAAGAGTAGGGGAAGAGAGATGGTAAAAGGCGACTGACGATTTCCCCTGGGTGGGTGAGCCCAGGGGTGTGCCGTTTACGTGATGCTGGGGCCAAAGGGGTGTGTTGCCTCTGCCGGTGGGCCTTAAAGGTCTAGTCACCCAGCGTAGGCTCAACCCCCAGGATCCCCTTTTCCCCGGACACGGCAAAGCCACGCACGGCTGGGCATGGAAAAAAGTCGAACCCCCTCTCCCCGTTAGCTCGGGTCTGTGGTGTTGCTACACATTAAACGCCTACTTGCGCAGACGCCCCTGCGGGGCTTTTAATCTTGCTGTACCAGAGCATGTTTGGTTATGCTCCTTGTCATAAATTTCCACCAAAATACTTAGGCCAGTTTCCACAAAGTCTGCAACCACACAGAGCATATATGATGATGAGTTGTGCAAGTGTGACGGTGAATAATATACATTCCATCTATACCTAACTATGTGTGGACACTGTATTCACTATGAACAGGTGGGACTAGGTGCCTGGTATCGGCCACAGATTTTATCATGCAAGGCTAACTAAATATCTTCTTTTATGACTGTCTGCACACGATGAAAAACCAGTTTTCTTTGTGCACAAAAAATCATAAAAGCAGACATTTTTAAAAGCACTAAAATACTCAAGCATTAAAAAGAGGTAATAAAATAGTACCTGAGGCACTTGATAACAAGAGGCAGGTCAATGTTGTAAGCATCCACAAAGGGCTTCCCATTGTCCAATGTCTCCAAGCTCTGGTTACAATTAAGCAATTGGTGAATGGGCACACATTCTTTGACAAAGGGCCAAGTTAGTAAAGTATGTCAACTCACAGCAATGAGGCAGCGATCACGTTCAATAAGGTCTGCGAGACGATTCAGCAGAACACCTCTATCGGAGGCATCCATGGTGCGCCATTCCGATCCCAATTCAAAGGCCTTCTTGGCTGCTTGCACAGCTTTGTCCACATCGGCCTAAGAAAGCACTGCTAATTTTAATAACTTGAATATGCACACCAACACCATGGCAAAGATACGCTGTGGTACACATTCCAAGGAAGCAAATTTGAAAGAAATGTAATAAGGAAAACAATTAAAACAAAACAGAATTACCTAAGGCCAAGTGCAATTATTATTACCAGCCAGTAGCATAAATATTACAGAAATATGCATGCTTGAAACAAGTTTGCCCTCAGCCCAAAAGAATCCCCTGGAAATTCCCTGCTTACCACAGCCATGGTCAGAATATCCATGACAATTCTAATAGAAGAGTATGTCTAATTTCGTGCAGATTATTTGTGTAACAGAATGTAAATGATGTCTCGTACGTTCAGAAAATCAAGGACAGTCTCTATTCAGACGCGATATTAAAAATATTGTATTGGTGCTGATTAACACTCCCTGGTTATAAAGTGGACGGAGGTATGACCATTGCTGTGGCTCTGTTAGCAGACCTTATTGGAAGGTCGCAAGTTGTGTCCCTGCCAGCAAGTTGACCGTTTCGTCCACCTTTTTTTCATACATACACAATTACCCCTAATAACACCTGTATTCTTTCCGTGTCAGCATTGTCTATTAGCTCTCATTAATATTGTAATGAAAATGAGCCCTTAGATTTCCACTTTTCCTAACAATCTGTTGGAGCAAGCTAGCGTGTACACAACATAAGTCATTCGATCACCAATTGGACTAATTCTCGGCCTTTTATTTAGAGAGCTTCAAAGTTTTATGCAGAAAATAAAAAACATTCACGGTTAATGTGTTCCCGCAGATTTTTTTTTTTTTTTTTTTTTTTTTTGCACAGAGATTAAAGAATGCAATGTCAGCTAGGTCTCACAAGCACCGTGAAGCTATGCAAGAACTGCACCACACTAGTTGATTTTAATTAGTGCATTATTAACAAAGTGTTTGGCAGATGCTTGTGAACTGTATGCACACAGTGTTGTGCATTTTAAAAAACAGAAAACAAAACAACATAATCTCATCTCAGACTTCCACCAGCGTGAATGTATTACGGAGTGCGATAGGTGAGCTGTCCGATGGCATATGCATTAAAGATACGTTCATTATTTTCCCTTTTAAATGAGCGTTATTAGGCATTTATTCGATTGAACCACATTGCGGAGATTCGAGGGTCAATATGAAACAAAATTAATTGCGTACCCAAATTACGACTGATAATAGTGAGGTAGCGGCGACTAGATTTATTTTAACCATCGGGGTTTGTGCGTACAAGTCAAACTTAGCAAGACTTACTTTGTCACCTTCTTGCACGTGAGTTATCACTTCTCCTGAGGTGGGGTTGACAGTGGGAAAGGTTTTGCCAGACGCCGAGTTATGCCATCCATTGTTGATGAATATCTGAAGTTGAAGCAAAACGCGTGTGAAAAAACTAGCAGGAAAATACGAACCGCAACGTTCAAACTCCGCCGCGTGCGGCCGGTGCACTTTTCAGCATCTTTCTTATTTAAGAAGGGCTATCATAGGGACTTAACTTCCACGTCCCTTTACCTGAGTGTAGGCGATGTCAGGATTCGCACAGGCTCTACTGCAACGGCGGCGGTGGACTGATAATGCACGCTGCACCGTCTGAGTAGCGACAAATTACGCGCTGTTGCTCGCATAAGCATGGCTGTCGATGCGTCGACGTTCCGCACGGATGCACGGCACCGGGAGCCGGTTTCAACTGTTCGCCGACGACTACCAATGCCTCCCCTGCCAAGGTATGTCCCCTGCTGCGACTACAAATACGAGCCGACAGCAAGCTCAGCAGGGAACAACGCTACTGCCAGTGCGCCCGTCACCTTCGTAGACCTCGCCCTTTCTCAGATCTCGCCACGCGTGCTCGCCACTTTCCCGAAGTTGTGCAACTGCAACTGATATCGTACGCGCGGTCTACCCGCGCTGTGGCCACGGTACCGAAGTGAAAGAAACACTTGCATAGGAAATAGAATAAATTTTTTCGCTATCTATGATCTGGGATAAGAGTTTATATAAGCATATACCCACGCTCCCAACTTTTCGTTAACCACCCACCCGATGAGCCAGCGCAGTCCGGAAGCACGGTATAAAGCGTGCAATACCCTGTCGGCATTAGAAAAAAAAAAAAAAAAAACTAGACCCAGATTTTTTCCAGGTGGATAGCAAAATGGCACGTCGTCTGCTATGGTACTTCCGGTTTGAGGCCTCGACAGCTTCGCTGCTTCAAGGCATCTTCAAAGTACCTGCTGAGCAGTGTAATCGGGGTGGAAACAAGTGCAATTCTGTGACGCTTTTGCTGCCGCTTGTTCAATTATTGTGTTCTTTAATTCTTTTTGTGAATAGATAGATGATATTTTGTGCATTTCAGGGAACGAAGGGAGACGTGGACATAGGCAAGAACGAGGAACGTAGAGAGATGGGTTTCAAGCACAGCGTGCAGTTATGCTTTGAAACACGCGGTTATCTTTTGCAGAATCACATCGATTCAGTATTTTCGAGCGCATACGCTTAACGAAGACACTTCAAAATTCAAGATCACTAACACATATGTACCTATGCTGTTATATGTCTACATATGAACGCGTACTTCGCGCGATCAAGTATGTCGATATAGTATACATTGCTATTGTACAATCTGCATCGCTAACTGTCTGTCAAATTGATTGAAACAGGTGAGTGCGTAAAAAGCCCACAGAACAAAATGGCCGCCCAAATAATGGTATCATTCGACGTGAAACGATCGAAGCCGCTTTTGAAGCAACGAGTAGCATGGTATGACGTCTCTGTTATGTCAGACTTGCAAGCGTGACGTGGTGATAGATCATGGTATACTCCGACTCATAGCCTTGAAGGCTATCTTGCACAACTCTACGCTGAGTGCGGATAATTTTGCATGCATTGAAAAACATTGTTCGAGCGTGTGAGGGACGACACCTCCTTTAAAGAAATATTTAGAGGCGTAAAAAAAATGCAAGAGAACTACGAGCACGTTTCATTATTAGCGTTCGAAACACATTCACTGCAGCCATTCGCTATATCAAGCCCGGAAGGGTATCTTTGCAACCCAAAAGTTGATAAGTCATTTTACGGGCACGTGAGCAACATGAAAACGAGTGAAGGGATACTTCGTGATCCCATGATGTGCAGAAAATCTTTGTTTGTGACAAAACATGCGCGAATAACCTTCGCTGCAAAACAACAAGCATGTGTCCAAAAGTGCAAGCCGCTTCAATAAAAAAAAAAAAAAAAATTACCGCTCGCACGATTATAACTATTCCGTAGTGATTACATTTGTTGTTCAATCATGGTGCATAGCACTCTAAAGTAGTACGCAGCAATTTGTAAGAAAAAAGGCACCACGAGTGCAAGGCGGAGCACGCAAAAAAAAAAAAAAAAAACAAAAAAAAAACGCCGCCACTGGCAAGAAGTCCGCACGGCATCACAACGCTTTGAATGAGAAGTCGGTGCAGACAGGCGCCGTGACCCACAATTCATTGCGTGAGCCATGATGCTATAACACGGAGGAAGGAAAGGTGTGATAGAACTACAGTGGAGTGAACAAGGCGGCCGCGCCGCTCCTCGGCTAGAGGTGTGCCACCGGCGACAGTTTTTGGTTGGCGTCGGCGTGCCGCCACCAACAGTTTTTGCTACGCCGCCGATGGATGGATGGATATGGCTGTACCCTTTAGATCGGGCGATGGCTAGCGCCACTAAGCCGTAATACTTAATGAACCAAAAACTAGATTTTTTTTAATAGTGAGGTTGAGGATTCGTACTTTGCAGCGAAGGGTTCAATTTTCACTCATGCCTTGACTTTAGCCACCAATCAGATAACCTCCTTCTAGTTAATTCTATCTGCTTAAAGTCTATTTTGCCCTCACTGTCCCTAAACCCCAGTGCTTTGAAAAACTCTGCGCCATCAACCTGAACTACAGGGTGAAGTCCTTTACAGAACATTATCAAGTGTTCAACAGCTTCTTCTTCCTCTCCACATGCACTGCATACCGTGTCTACCCCTTCGTATTTGGCGCGATATGTCTTTGTTCGCAGTACTCCCGTCCTGGCCTCAAACAGTAAAGAACTACCCCGAGTATTATCACAGATCCTTTCCTTGGCTATTTCCTGCTTAAAAGTTCGATAGCTCTCTAGTGCGGACTTCTTAATCATGCCAATTCTCCACATATCAGTTTCAGCTTCCTTCACTTTCTTCTTAACCGATAGTTCTTTTTGGTTTGGCCCCCTGCTGTTTCCCAAGTATTTACCAGTCAATTTTCTGGTTCACTTCCGCCATTTTGTATCGACATTCTTCACGTATAAGTAGCTGAATACCTTCCTAGCCCAACGCTCTTCCCCCATTTCTCTCAATCGCTTCTCAAATTTTATCTTGCTGCTAGCTTCCCTGCCCTAAAATGATGTCCATCCCATATCACCTTGTACTTCCTGATTTGGTGTATTCCCGTGAGCTCCTAAGGCAAGCCTACCTATTCCACGTTACTTAATTTCTAATCTTGATTGAACTTCTGATCTCATGCACAAGACCGCATTGCCGAACGTCAGACCAGGAACCACGACCCCTTTCCATATTCCTCTCACAACATCATACCTATTGTAATTCCACAGTGCCCTGTTTTTTTATTACTTCTACATTCCTTTTACCTTTAGTCGACACGTATATTTCGTGTTCCCTTAGGTACTCGGCCCCATTGCTTATCCATACGCCCAGACATTTGTATTTATCTGTTATCTCTAGCGTGACCTCCTGTATTCTAAGCTCACTACCTTCATTGTCATTGAAAATCATGACTGCTGATTTTTCCTTACTGAATCTCAAATCTAACCTATCTCCCTCATTGCCGCAGATGTCCATTAATCTCTGCAAATCTTCCTTGTTGTCGGCCATTAGCACTATATAATCTGCGTACATCAATGCTGGTAGTGCCTGTTCAATGAGTTTTTCTTGTTTGATGAAAGAGAGGTTGAAGCCCAGTCCACTTCCCTCTAATTTGGCCTCTAATCCTTGTATGTACATCATGAATAACAAGGGTGACAGAGGACACCCCTGCCTAAGTTTCCGTTTCACCTCTGTGGGCTTAGATACCTGTTTTTCCCACTTTATTACTACCTGGTTACTTCTATAGATCTCCTTTAAAAAATTAGTGACTATATCTTCCACGCCTAGGTTGTCCAGTATTCCCCATAGTTCCTCTTGAACTACGCTATCGTGCGCTCTCTTGATATCCAAAAATGCTAGCCACAGGGGCCTCTGTTCCTTTTCTGCTATTTCGATGCACTGCGTCAGTGAGAACAGATTGTCTACCAACCTCCTGTGTTTCCGAAACCCATTCTGCAGTTCCCCCAGCACACCCTCATCCTCTATGCAAGCTTGCAGTTTTTCCTTTATAATCTGCATCGCCAGCCTGTAGACCACTGATGTTGTTGTTATAGGACGGTAGTTGTTTATGTCAGCTTTGTCCCCCTTTCCTTTATAGATCATGCTCATCCTGCCTAAGTTTCCATCCATCGGGAACTTCTCCATTGATTATTATTTTGCTCACTGCCTCTCTCAAAGCCTGCTTAGACTTCGGAACTAATGTCTTAATCAGCATAAATGGAATGCCATCTGGGCCTGTTGATGTACTACTAGGAACCCTTTTCTCAGCCCTTTCCCACTCTTGTTGTGACAATGGAGTCATTGCGCCACTTGATTCATCCTTGTCTATTGTGCTGCATAAAGCACTTCTGTGATGAAATTTTTCTGTCACCCCCTTTCTTATATATTCAATGGCTTCGTCCCCTTCTAGCCTAGCACCTTGAGCTGTAGTTATATACCTCTGCTCTACGCTCGTCTCAATTCTTAGGGAGCTTAGATGGTTCCAAAATTTCGCAGCTGCCTTTCTATTTTTTTATGTACTTCTGCCAGCCACTGGGCTCCCTTTCTTCTAATCTTTTCATTGATCAGAAGGGATGCATCCCTTCTACAGCTTAGAAAAATTTCCCATTTTCTTTCAACATCATCTGTCGGTTCACCCCGCTGCTTAGCATGTCTGTGTTCCCTAGAGGCTTGCTGACGTTTTGCTATGGCTCTCTTAACTTCCTCATCCCACCAACTTTTGGGTTTGTGTCTTCTTTTCCGGGGTGACGTGTCACGTGCCTTAGCAAGCTCTAACTCAAACAGCCTAATTAGATTCGTGTATGTCCACACTGTTTTATTATCCTCAGTGATTACTTTCTCAATTTGTTTAGTGGCTATTTCAATTTGCCTTTCTGAATAAAAATTTTCCTGTAATTGCTCATCTTGTCTCCTTCCCACTTCAAATGGTCTTCCAAAACTTAGCTTGATACGTTTGTGATCACTACCCAGACTTCTGGAGCCACCTTCCTCTATGTGCATTCCCCTGAGCTTATCATACATCCTATGTGACATTAGTGCGTAATCTATCGTCGACTGCAGCCTTCCTACCTCCCATGTTATTTGCCCTTCACACTTCTCGGTATATTGCAAATGATCAAATCCAGCCTTTCACACATATCCATGATCATTTTGCCTGTCGGGTCGGTATACCCATCTATATCTTCTATGTGTGCATTCATATCTCCTAGTATAATTATCTCGCACTCTCCTCCTAACTCCTGAATATCCTTTGATATACACTCTACCATTGCCTGGTTTTCCTCTCTGGCCTTTGCTCCCGTCCACAAGTACACGAAACCAAGGAGTGTCATTTGCCCTGCCACTTTCCCTTTTAGCCATAAATGTTCCTTGCACTTCTGCTTGACTCTTTGCCAGTCTGTACTTTTATGAACGAATGCCCCAATACCACTCCCCTTTTTGCTGCCTTCTGTTGTATTACAATATTCCCACGCGTAGCCCGCATTGTTAGGGGGTGGTTCCATGTCCCTGAGATGTGTTTCTACAAAACCGTATACCATCGACCTCTC